TCTATTATTATTATTATTATTATTATTATTATTATTATTATTATTATTTTATTATTTTCCTTCTGCAGGCTGGCATTGGTTCTATGACCAATCCTGGACAGTTAATCATTGCTCTAGAACCTGAAACTGCCGCTTTGTTCTGCATGGAACGAAAGATCAGCAAACTTGAAACAGAACGTGTCAGTGATCTTGAAGACGCAAAGCTTGCACAGCCACAAACTCAGTACATGGTCGTTGACATTGGAGGTGACAAGTCACTGCTTCATTTTGTTATCATCAGACTCAATATATTTATTTTACAGTTAAAACATCTTTAGGATTATCGATCACTGTAGCCTCAAGGTGAAAATGGGATCTTTCTTTTTCCAAAATGAGAAGTTGAGAGGCAAAGTCAGTAACCGAAACTTAGAATGAAGGGTAAATTCAGAATTTGTAGTTTCAACAAATGAACGCCTATCGCTGTTAATTAAGGTACTGTACACAGTACTTGCAATAAAGGACGATGAATACTCGAGCTCTTTTAGCCGCACCAGTCTGTCCATTCTTTTCCTTTTTTTGCTCAGCCATTCAGTTTGCCCACAATGGTAAACAAGTACCAAATATTAAAATTTGTGTAACCGTGTCAATATTTCACCCTAGGGGGGACGCTAGATGTGGCCATACACGAAATTACTGATGATGGCAGTATCAAAGAGATTGACAAGATTACCGGGGGCCCTTATGGAGGAATCAAGGTAAACCGTAAGTTTGAAAACCTTTTGGACGAGCTGTTTGGAGCAGAAAATCTGAAAAAGTATAGAGAGCAGTATCCCTCTGACTGGCTTACTGTAATGAATGACTTTGAAGGAAAAAAGCAGGGCTTGCGAATTGTAGAGGGAAAAACGACAAATATCCGTTTGCCAGCCACTTTTGCTTCCTTGGTCAAACGACGTCCAAGTTATACCAGGCAACGTTACGGTGAGGAAGAGGTTAAGCTCAGAAAGAACGAATATCTTTGCTTAAGTCAAAGCATGATGAAGATGTTGTTTAAGCCAGTTTTGAACGACATTAAAGAACATCTTAAAGCCTTACAAGGAAGACAGCAGGTTTCAAAAGTGAAAACAATGCTATTAGTCGGAGGATTCGCAGACTCTGCCTTGCTTCGAGAAGAAATGCTGAATGAATTTTCCCACGATTATCGCGTTCTGATCCCTCGTAACGCTGCTATAGCGGTAGTTCAAGGTGCTGTCTTATTCGGCAAGAATCCAGCTAAAATAACAGAGAGAATAGTTAGCACCACCTATGGTGCCGACTGTTCACGAGATTTTGATAAGACCGTTCATCCTATCGACAAGTTGTTCATGGCAGATGACCGTCAAAAGTGTAAGGACTTATTTAACTGTTTTGTCAAAGAAAATGACGTTGCAAGGTCTGGTCAAAGTATTAAGAGGATGTATAGCCCGCTCCACGATAACGATACCGAGCTCACGTTTGGATTTTACATTACAAGAAATCCCGATTGCAAGTTTGTTACTGACCCAGGGGTAACCAAGATTGGAAGTGTGAAGGTCCAGTCACCCGATATTTCGAAAGGTCGCGGCAGAGATATTGAAGTCAGCATGCATTTTGGCGGAACAGAAATTGTGGCTACAGCGGTGGATATTACAAGTGGATGTACAGCTCAAACTACCCTAGACTTTTTTCATAAGTAACTGACACTGACGCTTGCATTGATTCCTATGTGGAGACGAAAATGGCCAATTCACTCCGTGAGACGAGCCTGCAGGGAATCATGGTAGTTGTATTTATTATCTAGGACTCACGGTTGAGGACTGGATATTTGTTTTCATGAATACAACTACCATCTTTCCCTGCAGACACGTGTCATAGAGGGAATTGCTCATTGTGCCATTATGAGTTCACCAAATTTAAAGGAGCTCAGTCACGGTTTGCGCATATTGAAAAGTTTAGCCTCAGTTTTTCAAATTCGTCGTTTGTAATCCGTGTTAATCTTCTCCATCGTTAGCCATCCTTGTTCCTTTATGGTTTATCATTATCTCTTTGGTGTTTTTCTATCTTATTAAACTATTTTTTTTTTCAGGTTTCCTACCGTTTAAAGGTAATTTTGTATGTGGCCAAAATAACTCAAAATACCGTGACTGAGCCCCTTTAAATTAAAGTTATAGTGCATAGTTTTAGTCACTAAATTTTCATTGTGTCGATAAGTAATTGTTCGTGGACACTTTTCCTCGATATGGGCTTTTGTTGAATGAAATTTTCAGATATAGGAAATATTGTAAATCAAAATCAAGAGAACTTTCCGCATTTTATGATGTTCTGAGAAGGCTGCATAGTTATAGACCGTTTTCATAAATGACTGCTAATTTAAAATTATTTTGTATCGATTTAAATTAGCTCCACTAAACTCGAATGAGAGTGAAAATTCTGAAGAACGAGCTTAGCCAGGCTAATATTAGTATCCATAAAATAATTTAAAATTGCCCTCCATTTATGAAAAGTGTCAAAAGTTGGTAAAAAAAAGGGGGAAACTAGGAATTGGCTGACTTTTGAATTTTATTAAAGGCTGTATATAACGTTAATTAATTGATCCATTGTTAATTTTTGATGTTGTCGACATTTGATTACATAAGTGATGCATCTGTAAAGCATCCTGGTGTACTATCGTAGCCCCAGGCTCATATCAACTTTATTTTCGTTTTAATTTCGGATGTTTTTCATTTTGGTGTCCGATTTCTTTTCTCTTTGGCTTTAAATCTGTTTCATTTTGTACAGATATATTTTTTTGTGGTTTTTATTTTGTTTCACTTTATTTTTTATTCCGCTTTGCCTTCCATTTTTATTTACTTTTTTTCGCATATGTATACTTAGATTCTATATAGCACTTTCCTTTTACATGTTCCAACTTTTGAATGTAAAGTTTGGGCATATTTCTAATTTCTTATTTCTAGTAATTGCTTTGGTCCACTGGTATATATGATCAATAAATTGTCGTGACCGTTCTCAATGGGCCATTCCCCCTAGGAAATGTGTCGGCAAGGAATCACGGTAGTTGTATTCATCATCTTGGACTGGATATATGTCTAGCTTTCTTGATGAATACAACTAGCACGATTCCCTGCAGGCACATCTCAATCACGGAATCGGCCATTAATCGATACCATAGGGTTGAAAACTCTTTAATTGATACATTAAGGGTGAAATGTCTGAAGAAATATTTGACCTCAAGGGGGAAAAAGTGATTTTAGGTGCTGTCACGCGTTCGTGCGATTTCGCACTGCTTTTCTCTGTAATTCACCGGTGAATGTTTTAGTTTAGACAAACCAAATTGAACAAATTTGCATATGGCTCATAGACCAAACTGTTTTAGTGGAGCAACTTCCTCACAATTCGTGGGCCAAGATGAATAAAAAATGTGGTCGATTTGTTATGGCTCGGCGGTCAATTCCAAGCCGTTCCGTCCAATGACCTTGGGAAAATAGTCAAAAAAAATAACAGCAAGATTTCGGGATTCAATAGAAAATGATATGATATTCCAATAGATTGAAAACATTAAAATGTCTTGACACATCTTAATAATTAAGCCCTCCATTTATTTTTAAATTTCTATTTTATAAGTCAATATTGCCACCCAAACCGACGGTTAACTAAATGCCTGTTTATACTATAAACAGTTTACTAAATACAGTTTAATAAATACTAAAGGCAATTGCATCAGAAACTTACATACTTTTAGTATCCATGTACAACTCAAATAAATGCTTGTTGTATAGCAAATAAAGGAAAGTTCAGTCTCTGGGGGTGAAATAGAATCAAGGTAAAAAAGTTATCAAATTTTACTCCTTTTCAATTGAAAATTTTCTTTCTTATGTTTTTCCTACACGTACAACACGACTTCGCCTTTCTCGATGACTCTACTGTCGCAGTCAAGCAGAGCTGGCCATAAATAGCACTTAATTTGGGAAGGAGACGTTTCCTTTTCCCTGGCGAATGACGAGCTTTCATTGTGAATCTTCGGATCATAGGTTTTACTCTTAAATTCGATCTTTAGGAGTGGTACCTGAGTAACCATGCGCCAAGAAAACTGACAACAGTATTCAATGTACGTCGACAGGCTATCTCCAAGTGAACCATCAAATGGTGGAAGAATATATTCTGCACATGTTGCATACCCTCTGTGGCGTCGTTGTTGTTGCTGCTGCTGCTGCTGTTGTTGTTGTTGCAGTTGCTGCTTCCATTTGGTTTCGAGATTTTTTTTGACGGTCTGTTGGGTTGAAGAATAACTATAATACTACTATAATAATTGTAATACTATTAATAATTATAACTTTTGCTTGGTGTGTTACAGCAAAGTGATTGCCCATTTAACTTCTAAATCTTCAATAAGAAACAAAACGGTTGAATTTTACAATAACCTAGTGCTAATTTCTGTATGATCTCTGTATAAGAACGAAGGTGCTGGTCACCGGTACAAAGAAATCTTCAAGTTATCAAACTAACACTTTAATTATCACACCGAAATCACTCATTACGAAATTTCACCAATTTTTCTAATGAAAATTAATTATGATTAAATAATGTGTAGATAAGCGACGTCGGAACAGTTTCCGATTCTCATACATTTGTTGTTATTTGCACCAAACTCTCAGCTGCTGAATTGGCCGATTTTACAACAAATTGATTCATAAAATTGATATACTTCTTGCTCTCTGCGGTTGTAAACTGGAGTCAATCTTATTCCCACCCAGTCTACGTTCTGGGTCATCCCTTAAAAAAGTGAGAGCTGGTCAAACGCAAATCCGAGTCTATAAACTTACTTGAACAAGTTTGTCCAGTTTATGATTGACAGCCGTCTCTTTGACAAGGACCATAACTTCATTAAGTGCATCCTGGACTGCCGATTGCATGTTATTCGAAGACGCTCTGGTCTGGAATAACCCAGTAGATGCTGGCTAGAGAACAAAATATCGCAACCAACAACTTAATTTTTCCCTCAATAGAGTTTAAGTTAAACAGGTTTGCTTGATGAGAGCATGTGTTACGAAATATTATAACCCTTAATCTTGATGTTCCTTTTTGACAGTAAAGTTAAATTAAAAAATTAAAAAATAAAACAGCCCTCGGTTTTTAGATTAACAAGTCATTTTCAGCAAGAAAGTAAAACGTTCATGCTTACTTCAGTTCGCTGTTAATGACGTGTTACTTGAAAGCGTTTCGTGTCCTTTTGGTTTCGTTGCATCACGATTTTTAAAATAGCCTTTTGAAATTTCGTTATATAGCAAGCTAGATGGCAATCTGACTTTACACTATCATGTGCGGGCTGAAGACGCGGTTGAGCAAGCAGTGGTGACGTTAGATAATTCCATACTTCCAATCGGTAGATTTTGAACACTTTAATTGTGAAATTTCCGTTTTGCAGGGTCTGTTTGAGGTTAAGTGGAATCCCTATATTCAGCTCACCGCACTGCCATAGAACACTCCACTGTGTTTTTCCGAGCTCTTAATCCTGAATATCTATACTTTATGCAAATTAATCAATTAAGTATTCAAGAAAACCAGATGCACGTCTGAAGTACGTTGATACCGAAGAGATTTTTCGCCTTCCTCGAATTTGAGAGAACAAGTTTAGCGGTAACTTGCTAACAAGATCTAGATAAAAAAAGTACAAACCTTCTTTAAGTCTAGGAAGGCAATAGAAGGTGCTTTAGTGACCAAATTATCCAATATTATTGACGAAATGTCAGTAAAGTTTTTCCTCACAATAAGGGCACTCTCGTAAGAAACCTACATTGTAAAGGAAAAAAAGAAAGAAAAGACCGTATGAAATTTCGCGTTTATATTTCAGAATAGCGTTCTCTGGTCTGTGATTACTAATTATTTTCCAACAAGGCAATGAAAAAGCAGAGGCTTACAGAATAGTTATTAACAATGCAGTTATATGAGG